AGCGAAAGTATTATTTCTAGGAGAAGAGGATATAATTTGATAAAATTCATACCTACTTGATTATCTGTTTACCAATTCCTAACTTCCCTCCAAATTTGACATGTGGTTTTAGAGATATAGGCGTGTCACGGAAAATACGTTAGAGAAATTAGTGGACAGAATTCAATAAAATTGATTTTACTTTATTTTTTAACCATTACATATCTTTTATCCAACTTTGAGCCAAATCGAAATAGCCCTTTCTGAAATATTGGCATATCTAAAAAAAAAAAAAAACGTTTGCGCGTGTGTAAGCGGAAGTGCTAAATGGAATTTAATAAAATTGATACGGGACCATCTAGGCGCCAATTTGCATAATCTCTGAAATTTTCAGTAAAATCGGATAAACAATACTACGTAATATTCCCGTTACATCGATTTGACTACAGGTAGACAGACGTACAGACACCGAACCAAATTAGATTCTTGATGCCTGAAACGTAAATGAATATTTTCGATTTTAAGCACAATTTTTTTTTTAACCTCTCGCACGAATATAATGCTTCCCTACCTTCGGTAGTGAGGAAGCAAAAATTATTCTTTGATGAGTTATATGTAAATTGAATGAAGTATCAATCGAACGACCAGTCTACAGTGTTGTACCTAAAATTAATTCTCTGAAACCCATCTAAAATAAAGTTTCATATAAACGTTGGAAAATAATAGAATATATATTAAAAATTGTTTTTGAAATCCATAAAGCATTGCCACATTTGTTTATCTTTTATTTGTTTGCATTTTGTTGAGATATTGAAGAAGATATAGAATGAGATATTGTTGACCCAATGAACGATTTATTCCTTTGCTGAGACAGAAGTTTTCCTCTACAGAAAAAGGTCATCCCAAGACCCGAGAAAGATTCGATCCCTCGGCGCTAAGACTATGGTGAAGAAAGTTGTGGTGACAGGGAAGCCCCAGGGTACAAGGGATGGCTGAATGAAGGCTGACCGATTGAGACTGATCGTTCACGATTAGCTAGTTCGGGGGGAGGAGAGGGGGTATTCGGGGTTCCTTTCCTAAGATGCTGTTCTTGCTACCGGTTCCGACCGAAGCGGTTCGTTCCATCATGAAGAATTTTATATCAAAAATCTTTCATTAAAAACAATGATTTGTTGCTATAGGTGATAACTTGATACAGAAAAAAATCAGCATGTAATCAGACATTAAGCTTTGAAGTTCATATCAGATAATATCGTACTAATACATTGGTACTGAAAGTTCACAGATAATTTTCGTTATTATCCTAACGAAGTGTGACATGTGTCGCTAAATTTTACATTTTTGTAAAATGTAAATAACCACTATCTTCTGATACCAACATGAAAAATTCTTCAATCATCCACTTTCTCTATAGCTACCATTCTCCTGGGAGTTTATCTTCTACAAGAAACTACTTCAACTTTTCACCTTTTCCATATTATAAATTGGGTCTTCATTTCTTCGTAAAAATAATCTAATTAATTCATCTTTTGTTACTGTTTCTCTTTTGAGAGATTTTCCTTATCCATATACATTCCATTTAGATAGGAATAGGTTGAACATATTTATTAACCCTTTCTTAAATACTATATCAAACAAACATTCATTTATAAATTCCGATGGTATATACGATACGTTTCCGGATTTTGTGAAATCTTTGATTTTTGTTTTGTTATGCATATGATATTAAGCTTAAAATATACAAAAATTCCGAATCTTTGAAACAATTTTATTTTTCATTTAGAAATGTTTTTTCGGATTTATAAGTCATTTTCAACTGAACTTATGAACAGTTCTTCAGATGTTTTAGGCCCAACATAAATTTTCTCCATTTTCATACATTGGTTAATTATATATATTTATTTTAAGTATATTAATTCACTTAAAAATTAATTAACTTCCTAATATAGATAGTTCCACTTTAGAGAACATATGGTTGGTAATAAAATAAATAAACTGTCTAATAGATTTACTCTTTTCTACCCAAAAAGAAAATCTGGATATTCCTTCAACCACTAGCAATATATAAACTCTAGTCTTTTATGTATGTATAAAACTAGTTGGCCCGTTCGAATAATTCGCATATTATATTAGTAAGTGAATATTCGTAAATATTTTATAAATGCGACTTCTTCCATATGTGAAGGGCTTACTAAAAAAAATATCAGTAAGGATTCTGCAAAGGTAGATGAACGGTCGATCAGATCTTGTCACTTTGTATTATCCTGCCACGAAGTAGAGCATATTTCATTCAAATGCATTAACTGCTTGTGGATTTCAAAGCTGATTACGATACTGACTAGACTCTTCATAGAAGAGACTAAAATATGATTTTAAGGAATAGGACAATAATAAAAAAATAATATAATATGACAAGTCTTATGAAGAATAAGATGATGTGGGATACTGTCTGAAGATGGGATATAAAAAAGTGGATCCCGAAACGTTATGATGTTGTTGAATGGAATGATTTTGAGAGAATAAATCACTGAAACAAATATTCTTACTTAATTTTAATCTTTCAGGATTTCATTAATTTGCGTCGGTATCGTAATCAAAATGTTACAATCTGAAAATTTTCTTATTTCTTTCTTCAGGTTTGTAAGACATTTAAAAATATTTTTTTCTCCTAGAAATAATTTATTCAGTTGCGATTCTGTTGTTGATATTATAAATGCGTACTAAATTTATCCTGGCAGCATGTCTAGCTAACGCTATGAACAAATCATCGGTCTCTGATTCCAGGTACGTAAATTTATGCCCAACTATCGACATGAATAAACTGCCACGCTTAACTAAACAATATTATCTCGACAGCCGACAAATATAATTTATTCACATGACGCAAAAGTCAGAGAGGCGCGAAACGTGGATCATGTGGAAACTACTTTAATAATGCACAAGCGTTGCGAGTCCTCTATCTCCAGCCACTCCTTTCGTTACCTTTATGCCATAATATATCATTCCAGGGAGGAATGGTGCACCGTCATCCCTACTGCAGGGATGGTATGTTTATGTTGGATAAATGGAGCCAAAGGAGGCCTTACTTTTAGGGTGTCTACGGATTTTTCAATTTAATATTTGAACAGAATACTAGCTGGTGATTTATTCGGCATGGATACTAACAGTATTATCTAGTCCTCCTAGTTCATAGCATAAGGGAGTGGTGCTTTTTCTCAATTACAAAGAAATGGAATGATTACCATATTTCACGCGTCAATAAAAAACAAATTATGCAATTCTGGATCCTGCAATTGTTATTATTTTAAGAACCTAAAGTGATGATTTATTATATTATAATCAAATGATTTTTTAAAATTTTAATATAAATAGACAAATCCAGAAAATTATTCCAAAAATCAGCCTATCCAGCGAATATCAGCTCATTTACATAATTTTTAATGTGATTCTGATACTGAAGACTTGCCATCTTGGTTAGAAAAAGAGAAGATCTTACTATAACATATAACATATGAGGATACAAAAATGCTACATGAGTATATAGATTATATCAACACATGGGCTGGATTAAATTAATTAAAGCTGAATGTAGAAAATACCTATACTATCCTCATAGTTTCCAAACACCTCATTCTCTCATACTTTACATCAATAACCGTCCCACCTATTTTCTACCAACAGTTAAAAACCTAAGTACTTTTGATAAGCACCTCTCCTGAAATATATATATTTTCCAGTTATTTGAAAATCCATAACTGTCCTAAAACAACTCCTTAACCACATGAAAGCTCCTTGTAACCTCTCCTTTCCTTCACTTCGACGGCGGTTGCTTGGTGTATGGAGGGCGTCTGCAAGGTTGGAGATAAGATTGAAGAAACGTATCAATTGTTTCATAACATTCATCTTTGGCATTCCTAGGCGTTCTCATGTTTCCTGTTGATACGTCGTGTTTTGGCTCTATCCTACTTCCCGACGGTGTCATCATCTTTCAACACCTTCGAACCGAAAATCTTAAATCAGTCTTGGTCTTGCACTTTGCAACCAAGGCCATCTAACTGTTGCAAGACCAAGACCAGGTCTGGTAAAAGAAATCTATTTTTAAAATAAAAATTAAGACAAAATGGTTTCTAATACTTGACAATCTTAGTTAAGATATGTTAATAATTGCTACAACTAATATTCTTTTAAATTTAATTCCTCTAATTTTTCATTTGGGCTTAGTTAGGTTTCTTCAATTTAAAAAGATACAGTAATATCTCTATAGTAATAAGCTATTAAGTAACTGCAATACTGTTGCAAGACCTCTGCACAAGACCAAGACTGAGTTTGAAAGACCAATACGTCTCGCTCTCGTATTTGGGCAACACTACTCTCTATCCATTCTCTAAATGTTAGATCTTAATCTATTGGTCTATATATTTCCTCCCTTATAAGTACTTCCTTCAACGAATCTTCGTCATTCGTGCTAATTCCTTTTGTAACTCTTTACCTATACGCCAATCCTCGTCTAAAAATTCCTTAAATATCCACCATTTATATTCAAACTTCCGCAATCTCGTAAAAATTACTCGCTTCTTTAATTACAATTGATATTAATAGTTTATTGACATGTGCCGTTTTGCTTGCTTATTTGGGTGTAGCAGAGCGTAAATAGTCATTTCATCAACGCCTTTTGGTTTATTTGAATTTATTGGTTATCCACCAATCCAAGCCCGATAAAGCACCCAAAGACTCGACAGAACACCCGAAGGGGCTCGCCAGAGTCCAGAAGGCGCCAGAGTCCCACCCAAACGGCAGATGGCGGTTTGTAGATTTTGGGAACACGATGATTGATCAAAGGATGTGAATAAAAACAATTTAAGTCAATAAGCCAATAGAATAAGTACCGTTTTGTATTTCTTTATGCCAAAATAATGCGCATAATTTCTGAACACTGTAATCATACTTAATTTTCCATTATAATTGTTAAATATGAATATACAGCGAAATACAGCATTAGTATAATCTGAGTAATGTATTAATTACTTACCTGTTTCTCCATTATAATTAATGTACTCTCCATCCTCTCTCCTCCACATGACGTAAGGCTCCGGGTAGCCCTGGGCCTTACATGTCAATGTCACGTTGGCCGACTCACGAACCACCATGTCTGTGCTTGTCTCCTTGTCCACAATCGAAGGAGGGACTGTAAATATTAATTATTGTAAATTAAAGTATATATATATATATATATATATATAAGTGTATTTTTGATTTGTTTAAATGTAAATTTGGTACAAAAAATATAAGTGTTATTTTGTGAGAGCTTTGAAAACTGCTCATTATGGTAAACCATCTTTTAAAAAATGTATTCACTATCTATGATAGCATAATATTTTTATTATTTATCTAAATGTTAGGCCAATAGACCAATAGTCCAATTTTCTTTTATTTATATTTTCACCTCTATCCAGAAATTACAAAAGAATCATTTTCATGTGTCTAAAAATAATTTTCTGTCTATATATTTAAATATCCCATTAGTGACGTATTCATCACTTAATGACCTTACCAGTATATGCGACAGGATAAGAAAACCAAGTGGAAAGTTATTTCTTGGGAATACGTTTTGAAGGTGGAAACACTCTTTTAAGCTAAAATGTATAACATATCCATCAGTATGAGCTAGGTGCTAGTTGCCATGTTATGCCTCCATTGTAGTGACGAAGTACTATTCCCACCAATTTTCTCTAACTGTTATTATCATAAAATCATTTTATTCTTGGTTTTTCTTGGACATTTTTTATTGTAGTACTGAATGTACACTTCATGACACAGGGACACATCGTACCTCCCCAAAATAATTGTAATTGTTTCAATAAACATTTTGGAGGGTATGAAAAAAAAAAAAAAGAAAACTTTTCTTGGAATAATTTATATCTTCCCTGTTTATTGATATTTTTATATTCAATCAATGATGATTCATGTGACTTTGTATGTGCTAATAATAGCTTTCATTGAGTGACGTGAGAAGAGAGAAAAGCCATTAAGCTCCACAAGTCTTTATAAAGAAGACTGTTAAAGGTCCATCTGAGAGAGGCCACTCTAAGAAAGAAGACAAGATACAAGGGACGTGGAAGATAATGCCGCAGCGAGGTCAGAGATGAACTGTCAGGCTTTGTGCTTCCTCCCTCTCAAGATTACTGTTTCCTCCCGCAAGTCCTTCCTCCTCCGGCCATCTGTCAACTGTCAATTAAGACCCGACAACCAACGGCTCAGTCGGGTTCCATCACATCCACCTTTTGTCTTCCCTAGTTTGCTAAATGCATTACACATCTCTTACGCTTTCTCTTTCTGTCGGTTATGTTTTAAGTGATTAGAGGGCCGTGTTGAAATAAGATTGGTTAGGGAATGAATTGGATTAGTTACTCTATGCTTTTGGAACAAAGTTAATACATTTCTTTCAACTGTCTGTTTGATTACAAAAAAAAAAAGCAGCTATGATACAATTAGATCTAGAAGGAGATGATAGAAGAGGAATAAAAATAGATGAGATGTTTTAATAAGTACAAGCATGAATCATCCATATAAATGTAATTTATTAAGAGAAATACATTAATTTTTTTATTTAACAAAACGGTGTTCAATGTACGGTTTAACATGGGAGGAGGTGATAGCCAAGCACGTTGAGGCATGAGTTGCAAAGCACACTGTTCTGAACTTTGTGGATTCGATTCCCACGTGGGTCGTTTAATTTTCATTTCTTGGCGGTGACAGGGAATGAATCTCGACATTTCTACTCTGGTTATAACGCGGCGGCAATCTTAAGCTGGACATCAGAGGTTAGCAAAAAGAACGATATGGCCTACTTGTGGGACTAGTTCTTCCCACTACTACCACTAGTTCTTCCCACCAGTATGGTCCAACATAGACAAATGAAGTTTTTTCTATTAGCTTTACATTAAACTAAAAATGTTGCCCTATTTCAGAAATAACCCGTGTTTAAGCACGTGCCAAAGCCAAGTTATGCCTCTGAGTTCTTTATATTCTAATGTAGATTGACGCAGTGTGTTTTTTATCGTAGATATTATACAATTCAATTTAATTTAATGAGATTCTATTATCTTTCACTACGAATTTTATGAAAGATCACTTAATTTTTGATGTTTGTCGACCTATTTAAATTCAATGTTTTGTTCATTTTATTTTAACTTTAATTTGATAGGATTAATTTTAATTTTTTTGTTGAAATCAATATCCGATTAAAGTTTCAAATAAATTTAAATTTTATAATTTCTTTTATTTCGGTAATTTATTTGTTTTACTATATTTTAATATTTTTCTTTTTCTAGATAGACAATATTTAACAATACTTTCGAAAACAGGTTTAGGTTAAAACATACTTTAATAATATCATTCATTTAAAATTATATATATTTTCTTAGAATTAATTTTTAACAATAAAGCCTTACGAAATTTATAAAGGACTTTGTATCTAATACTCCACATAAGATGTCCATTAAAGAACATTTACACCACGTACATATTTTTAAAATAAATAAAATTTAAGCTATAATTAGTATTCGAACGTATATGATCTTAGTTTCGACTCTTATCAGCTTTTATAATTTAGTATTGTTTCATTCCAGTCTAAACCCAATCCTACTACTCTTCTCACCTTTTTATAAGATTCCTAGGGATAAAACCGCAAGTCAATTAAGTTCCTATGAATAAGATATGTATTCTTTCCTAAAAATAAATTTTAAAATGAGCTCTGTATATAATTTTATGAACCTATTAATTAGCAACAAAAGTATTCTTGGAGATGAAGAGAAGAATAGTTGGGGTGTTCAGTCAAAAAGGAAGGCAAAAATAAATTATAATATTTATTTTTCATATGCCTGAGATGTTAAGTTTTTTGATTATTTGAAAAATTGATTAAATATGAACAAATTTTCAGTATCTCAGTACCAGTCTTCAAGTTTCATTCCAAAATAAGTCATATCTCTATTCATGCTTCATCAAATCCACTTTGTTCTCTAACATAAATTCTTCACCATAGAAGAACAGCATTTAGAAAATTTAAAAACCATTAACTTCGAAATCGTGTCCAGGTAAAATTTACTAAGTGACAAGATTATACTGGAATATTTAAAAAAAAAACTTACTTTCTCTAAAGAATTTATTCATCAGATTTATTTTAAAGTCGATAGCAAAACAAAGGTATCAAATTACGTATATTTTTCTTACCAACAACTTGGAGGTACCCCTGTCGACTCCTCATCGGGTCCGTATTGACCTGACACATATACCACCCCCTGTCCGCCTCTTGCACATTCCTGATGTGGAGGTACCAGGAGCGATGGTCGTTGTATGATAGTGACACGCGCGGGTTCTGTGTGATCACTGTGTGGTGAATTGATAGGATTGTCTGTGTGTCCACTCGCACCCATGCGACCTGCAATAAAGGAATAATTATTATAAAATAATTAAAACTTCCTTTTATATTTAAAGTCTACGGTAATAAAGTAGTAAAAAATACTTACAGTACATGACATTTAGATATTATACCCTAGACAATAGGAAATTTTCCCCAATGGACAGTTCCATCAAGAAATAATATAGGATTAAACTATTCTCCGAATAACAACCTCTAGAAGAAATTAGATATAGGTATATTGATGTAGTCAATAGATTATTTCATAATAATGAAATAATTTTCACTGACGAATCGAAATCAGAGAAAGGTGTGGGATGTTGTATAATGACCCAAAACTGTATTAACAAATGGAAATTTAATAACTATAATTCTATTTACACATGCGAGACATGGACAAGTTCTTAAGTAATTGCAATGTGTAATCAATAAAAATACCACAAAATCAGTTCTTGTGGCCAATTCTTTACTGTTTTCAAGTTACTGCAAAGTTATAGGGAACAACAATAAATTGCATAAAAAAATTCAACTCATGAACTTGAAAAAATAGTCATAAATAACATTGTTAAGTATCCCTTGACACATTGACATAAAAGCAACGCAATTGGCATAAAAATGATGAGTTCCAAAAGCACTAATTCACCGTTTTTTTCGGATAGTTTTCAACGAATGGACAACAGATATTACAACAAAGGTAAATGAAAATTAGAATGAACAGTGGAGAGGAATGCTACTCAATCACTTTCGTCTGACCAAAGAAGAAAATCGAGCTTGGTATCCTCCGAAATCCCCCAACATCAAAAGAATGTTCTGCAATGAATAGCGTCAGAATTGGACACACCAAACTGACCCATCTCCATCTTCTTCTTGATCTAGATTGACTAACATGTCGGACATGTGACAATGCTAAACAGACCATAGTACACATAATCTAAAGCGAAAAATTCAATAACAATGAATAGAACTCAAAATTGAAGACGTAGCACCGTACAAAGAAAACAATGGAATTGAAAAAAACTCTTGTACATGTACATTAAACAAATAAAATATGATGTTTAAGGAGGAAATCGAGACCACGAGGGAACTGGTTGAACTTCAATAGCAATAAACACAATCACAAATAAGACTTAAAGAAAAAGTTAATGAAAATTACATCAAATCTAAGTAACGGCAGTGTCATGCCAGTAACGTTTTGAATCAACAAACAATAAATTGTAGATTAAGTTTTAAAATAAAACCTTATTAAATTTTATAACCTCATAAAAATATTGTATTAACCTAACCCCCATTACACATGATCCATGCCTTCCACGTTTTTTTTTTCGGTTTGCACTACAGACCATGAAAATCTTTGACCGCGAGTCTAGCCTTCTGGTCCACATCCCGATTCCTGATTTAAAGTACAGAGTAGGGTCATCAATCCCGGTCGGTGTGAGTGGCCTCCAGTAGTCTGACGATTCTCACATACCTGGGGTGGGAGAGGAATCTCGGGCAGCGTGGCTTTCCTTGGTGGACGGTCACCCATCCAAGTGCTAGCCATGCTCGGCGTTGCTTAACTTTGATTATCTATTGCAAGCGCCTTATAAGGCTATCCCAGCCCTCATTTATATATATATATATATATATATATATATATATATATATATATATATATATATATATATATATATATAGAGAGAGAGAGAGAGAGAGAGAGAGAGAGAGAGAGAGATAGAGAGATAGAGAGAGAGAGGACTCAGAACGCATTATAACAACAAAATCTTGAATTTCAAGTAAATGGGATTTAGGTAGCACAGGCTAAGTAATAGAGATTTAAAAAGGCAGGTTGATGGTTTAATGAAGATTGATGAGCTAAGGCATCAATATTTTAGAAGACTTAGATCATGAAAAATGGAGAATAAGTCTTTATGAAAAATAGAGTATATCGACTATGGTAATTGAGTGAAATATAACAATCTTTAACTATTTTGAAATGTTACTAAACAATTTGTATAAAAATTGTAATGAATCACGGCGTACTTGTATTCCTGAATAATTGTGGATAACTGAGTAATATAATTTTTCAAATCATGAAAATAAAAAATATATTTTTCCAAATTTTTACAATAATAATGAGTAATTTGTTGATTATTACACAATAGCTTATCATCCACTGAAGAGCGCAAATTCTTAAGTCCTCTTCTATAAGTGAAATAAAAGGGACGGAATAGTGATGGTTCAGTCAAATTCTTCATAAATTAAACCTTATAATAAATATATAAGGAACCACTAGAGGCTTTAAGGGATCTACTGGAATTTCTGATGAATTCATGCCCTTAAATAACTAGCCCTTATTGAGAAACTAAACAGTTGAGTTCTGAAGCCTTTTAATCTAATATTAAAATTATTCACTTTTTATTAAATATTTAAACTAATTTGAACGTTATACATTTATTCTCTTGTATTCATACGACAAAACATCCACTATGATTGAAAAAAATGATTATTAATTATTTTGATACTGCATATAACAAAAGAACTCAACGATTGAAGTTATTTGCTGGTAAGGATATAATTTAATAATATTAAAAAAAAATATCATTTAAAAATTAAAATTTTAATATAATTTTATATATAATGAAAAATGTTCAGTTCAACTCTTATAAAGTACTGGAAACATTAACTTCATTAATTTAGGTTAAATATTCATGTATTAGTATTTTTTTTCTTTAAGCAAAATCTAGATTTATAAATAAAAATCTTTACTCCTTAGATTGGATATTTATTTGTCGTTGTTACAGCTAGAATTTTTCATTAACTTTTCACAAAAAACATTCTTTCTATAAAGATACATTTTGTTTTTTTACAAATGTTTATATTTATGAATTTATGTCGTATTAACTATTATTGAATTTTTAAGCTTGATTATAACAATATTCCTGGAAACTAATAATGATTAAATAAGTTTATATTTACAATAGTAAAATTTCATACAGATCCATTTATTGTTCATATTCACTAAATTTACAGCTCTTTTGTACATTTTCGAACATAAAACATCATTATAAGTTAAAATAGTTTGGGTTAATATGCATCTTCCCTCCCCCAATCAAAATAGAGAAGGGGCGAGATTTTCGTTTATCCCGCCTCCCTCCAACATTAAACCAAAAGAACAAAAAAAAAAAAAAGAATAAAATCAATAAAAATTAATCTACATGGATGAATAAAACATGCATTCTAAAATCAATTAAAAAATAGGAAAAGTCGATTAGATGGCTAAGCGAAGGGCTAGAAATAGTTATGCAAGTACTTTACTAAAGCCTATGTTCCTATTATTGAACTTTTATGTTATATTCATATGTGTTTAAATGTAGCATATGATAGGATTTTATGATTCATTTATGTCTATCCTCCCATTTTTAGAATAAGATTTTATCACCATTCTTCCAGAAAATTTAAAGCAACGGAGAATTGAGTTCCTCTCACTGACTCAAACCTTCAAATAGAAAAATAATGTAATATATTAAATTGCTTTGTTAACTTATTTTAAAATTCACCCATACGCAAAAAAAAACTAATATATAAAGGCATCAATTTTTTTATGTACAGTTATGAAAACAGTTGATTGTCGATATTCGAAGTTAACAAGGTATATATATATATATATATATATATGTATATATTTAATCAGGACAGTCGGGGATGGAAGACAACCATGATTTATAAATACATAGGATTTTGTAAGTAGCTCAGGGATTGAGTATTATAAAAACAGTATTGCGTGCAAATCAAACAGAAATATAAATCTGTTTCGAAGAAATGGAAAGAAGTACTATATAAAATTTATAAAGGCTGTGAAGTGGTTGAGTGCATTCGAAATCTGAAGGAATATTAATGCTTCTAGAACCGCACCGGGCATCAGACTCTTCAGAAGAGAAACGGATACTATTATTTTGATTAATTTAATTCTTTTGCGTAAAACGTTCTGATAATATAGTACTTTATTATTGGATGAGAATATTGCGAGTATTTTGCTCTATCCTGGTCTGTGAAATATGACAGGTAAACAATTAGTTTTGTCGGATGCATGTTAGAAAATATAAATAGTTTTGAAGAAAAATGTTGGGGATAGAATTACTTCACGAGAGTGGAGACACGGCTTCGTTACACTGCTGGTTATCTTATAATTTTAGCGTAAAAGACTGGTTTCTTCTTCAAAATTTTTACCTGTCCTCCCTGAATAGATATATTTCGTTTAAAATTTATTTTATAAATGCATTTCAATAAAGTAGAGCAGGAGACACTTCGACAGTATCGTGTTCGGCAGCCGTACGTGTCACACAACGGTGGACTCAGGCCAGACCTCACTCCATTCCTCACCATAGCTCCCAGACACATTGGCCCGGTAACCTTGTACATCGTAAGTTTCATTGAACAGGGGTAGAAGATTTCTCTTTTTTTTTTCTTTTATGGAATATGACTGAAATGTAAAATCCAAGTTTTCGACCTCGCCTCCCCCCTCCTCCCCCGAATAACTTTTTAATATCCCCAAAACTACTTTATTTTCGGTTATTCCCAATTTTATCCATGAAGCAGCGTCTTTTCGACAAATATCATCACATACTTTTTTAGACTAGACTAAATGTGCTACAATTTAAGACTATAACTGAATAATTAACTTAAATAGTTTACGAGATACAGGTTTTCAAACTTTGGAATAGTTTATTTTTCAATTAAATTATTTTCCATGTTTGATCATATGCGATTGTTTTTTATCTTCAATAACCTGTCTGATATGAGTCAGTGAAATAAATATTTATTCATTTTTATATTTGAAAGGAAGGGTGCTGGAGGGAGGTAAAGGTTTATTCGGAGAGGATAGTTCGTGTGCCATACCTCCCTCCTGTGCACCCCCCACTCACTTCACTATAAATTGCATGTGGTTGTGTCGTTGTAACTGCATATTAAAAAAAAAAATCAATATCTCCACAAAAAAAAAGTGGCCACACTGTCCCAGAATGGCGTCAAAATATGGCGGATTGACGACCTTCTTCTTATCGTAACATACAACTTTTTGATTTACGAAACTTCTGTGAAATAGGACGTTTTAAATCTGGAGATTGGTAAACTTTTCATCTATTATGAGATACTAAAAACCCATTAGTAGCCATTTTATTTCCACTTGATCATAAGGTAAGATAAATAACAAAATCGAGAAAAACGGTTGTCTACAAAATTATTGGACCATTTAGCGTGACCTCCATCCCCAAAATGTCAAAATAATATATAGTTATGTAGGTTAAACGGCCCAATATTTTCGAAGGCCACATTTTTCACGATTTTATGATAAAATCATACTACAATTCAAGTGGAAAGCAAGTGGGCATTAATGAGTTTTAAGAACCTCATTTTAAATTCCGTCCCAGCTCAAATTTACGAATTTTTTTTTCCATGCATGTTGCAAATTTAGGGCTTAGTGAGCCAGTCGACTTTCAACCACGATTCCGGCCAACAAAGCCCACTATAAATATTTATATTCCTTCTTCATTTTCTATTATTGTAGGAAAATTCACCGATCCAAAGGTTCAGATCTTTGATAAAACAAATTAAAAATTTTCTTTTCTTTTGCACATTAACTAACGAAGAGTTAAACAATAAATATACCTTTAATCTAGAGATCAAACAATGCAATTATCGTCCAGATATCTTATGACATCTATGGGTCATTCTGATAAAGTCTTATATCATTCTTAAATACTTGGTACAAACCTACATGTATATTCCTATAGATTCACGAGTTAAGAGGAATAAGACATGTTTATATGATGTGAAAGTACTATTCTCGAATATATTTCTCTTAGTTTTAAAATGTCTACTGTATCAAGCAGGTATAGGTATTTAAACTATATTTCACTATAATTATTGTGTACGTGAAAGATT